ATAAACACCCTTCTGTCATCTTTTCCATGTGTGCCGCATGCTCCAAGGCCCTTGCTGTCTTAGCAGCACATTTCTGTAGACAGTGACACAAGGTGACGGAAAATACTGAATTGCTAAGAAAAAATGCATGATTGCTTTAAATTAGCAAATCTACTGGTCCAAGTAAAATGGCTTCTTATTTTCCCCATAGCTGGTCCTGAGGCTGTGGCCTGTTATGATCTTCTCAGTGAGATTTTAGTGTGTGAGGAGTTTCAGTTAAATGAGGCGAGAGACATATGTACCTTTCCTGACTCAACTGAGATATTTTCGTGAACTTGGAGGTCATGTGACCACATCTTTGGTTGGAAACTGACAGCGAAGGAGCAAAAGCCATTTTTAAAATATTTTTTTTAAGATTTGGGGGAGCACAGTGGCCCAGAGCAAGATACCAGTAAAAAAAAAGTTTGATGAATAAACATGTCTTCTGTCAGTGATCTCTTCTTTTGATAGAGTCCAAGACACTGAAACTATAGCTGCTGGCTTGTGTTAATGGAAATAACAGTGAAGAGAAGAATGGTTGATCTTGGAGAACAGAGAAGTCTTGCTATTTTTGGAAAATTCCTTTGGTTGATTCACTGTATAAACTCATTTTGGAACATTTAATGATTGTATGTGATTCTGTTTTGCTAAGTAAATCTTTTCTCTTAGGAGAAAGTTTAAAAAAAAAAAGTTCATGTGCATCTTCTGTGATATGAAAACTTTGGTTAACTGTATGAATGAGAATGAAAATGCTGGCTTCTGTGATCTCAACAGAAAGGAAGGGAGGAGGTTGGCCTGAAGGAATTTATTACCTTTAGAATAATGTAACTAGAGAGATTATATAACTTACTCTAGAAGGTAAACAGTTCAAGCTATTGCATTATGACAAGACAGAATCATTTGTGTGCAATTCATTGTGAAAAAGAAGAAAGAGCAGTGACCTGCTAACATGGAAACTGTCTTCATCCAGCCTTCTGTGCTCTTCACTATATTTCTTCCTACATTCCTCCTCACTGAGGAGGGATGGTCAGCTTTCCCACTCCCCTTTTTTTATTTGCCTCCCAGTACCATTGTGCAGTTAATAATGAGCAGATGGGTTGCACAGAAGAATGAGCTCACAGCTACCCTTTTAATTTTTTTGCCTTTTTCTCAACTTCCAGTTTAGTCTGCGTAGTTGGTTTTGTTGTTCAGAAACAGAAAAGGGATTTTGATAAAAAGAGTTGATTGCACATTCACTTCATAAAGGCAGTTCACTAAAAAGAAGTTATCAACTCGTAGAGGAATCTTTATGAATAAACTTCTAACCTTAGGACACTGAAAGTAATGGAACAGCTTATCCTAGAAATAATTTCCAGGCACATGAAGGACGAGAAAGTCATCAGGAGTAATCAGCATGGCTTTGCCAAGGGAAGGTCATGCTTGACCAACCTGGTAAACTTCTACAATTAAATGACTGGCCCAGTACATAAGGGGAGTGGATAGTGTCTACCTGGACTTCAGTAAGGCCTTTGATATGGTCTCTCATAAGAGTCTCACAGCCCCTCAAGCTGGTGCTGTTAGTGGTTGGATGGGCTGACAGTGAGGTGGATTGAAAATTGTCTGAATGACTGGGCCCTGAGGGTAGTGATGAACAGTGCAAAGTATAATTGGCAGCTGGAAATTAGTGGTGTACCCCTGCGGACCATACTGAGTCCAGTCTCATTTAACATCTTCATTAATCATCTGCATGTTAGGGCAGAGAGTACTCTCAGCAAGTTGGCTGATGACACAAAGTTGGGAGGAGTGGCTGATAGGTCATGCAGATGTTGCCATACAGAGGGACCCAACAGGGTGGAGAAATGGGCTGACAGGAAGTCTCAGCAAGCTCAACAAGGAGATTTTCAAAGTCTTGCACCTGGTGAGTATCAAGCCCCCACACCAGTACATGCTGAGAGCCACCCAGCTGGAAAGCAGCTTGGTAGAACAGGACCTAGGGGTCCCGGTGAACACCAATTTGAATGTGAACCAGAGAGGTGGTCTTGCCACATGGAAGGCTACTGGTATCGTGGGCTGCGTTAGAAGTATTGACATGCAAACAGAGGGAGGTATTCCTTCCTCTCTGCTCAGCACTGGTGATGTCTCATCTGGAGTGCTGCGTTCAGCTCTAGGCTCCCCAGTAGAAGACTGATGTGGAGCTACTGGAGAGAGTCCAGCAAGGGACCATAAAGATGATGAAGGGACTGGAGTATCTCTCCTATGAGGAAAGGCTGAGAGCTGGGAGTATCTGACCTGGAGAAGAGAAGGCTCAAGGGTGAATCTCATCCATACTTGAAAGGAGGGTGCAAAAGAAGATGGAACCAGACTCTTTTTCAGTAGTGCCCAGTGACAGGACGAGAGGTGATGGGCACAAACTGAAACATGGGAGATTCTGTTGAAACATCCAGAAACACTCTTTCACTGTGAAGGTGACCAAGCACTGTCACAGATTGCCCAGGGAATTTCTTGTGTCTCATCCTTGGATATATGCAAAAGCTGTCTGGACATGCTCATGGACAACTGTCTCTAGGTGAGGGTTGGGAGTTTGGGCCAGATGACCTTTGGAGATCTCTTCCAGCTTAAACGTTTCTATGATTCTGTAATATACAGTACCATCAGTGCTTCTGGTTGAGGAGTACAAGATGGATATGAAGTTGTTGTGTATTCTACTCTGTATTTACAAAGGCTTTTTTGAATGAAAGCATCTTAAAAGGATGCTTATATTGCACTTGGCCTTTCTGTGTAATGTTCACACAACCTTAAAGAGAAAGTAGTATTTTCTTTTTAATGGATATGCATTCGGCATAAGAATGATGAAAACAAAGAAGAAAAATGAGAAATGGGGTGTTCTGCATAGCCTTGTAGTGGCATCTCATTATCTCTGATCTTTTATAGATGATAGATGTATCAGTTCAGGGAGTGAGCGGATAATGTGCAAGGAATTAAAATTGCTTGAATTTTGTATTGTTGGAAACAAAGTGAGCCTCCCATTTCATAGAAATTTTGCCAACAGCAAACCAACAGGAATTGCCATCTTTCAATTGTAATATTCCATCACATATGGGAAGGGGCACACCAGTAATTTTCCATGCAACTTAGGAAAAGGCTACAGTTTTTACTGAGTAAAAATCAATTATGAGATAGAATATTTGCCTTGCAACTACTGCCTTAATATTCATTTCACACATTGTGGCTCCTGTGATGCGGGAAGCCTTCTGATCCATCTTGGGCTGAAAGACAACAGGATGCAGGATCACATCAGTTTTTACTCTGGATTTGTACTCTCCCTGTGCTGGGGCTTTAGGTTTTGTTTAACTGTTTTATGGGACAAAAAGATCATATTTTTTAATCTGTCAAGCTGTTGTCAACCCTCAGTTTTCTTTGTTGGTCTGAAATATGTTACTGCTTTCCTAGGAGACTAATAGGAAACATAAAGGCTTTTGTGGCATACTGCAGACTCATTACTATCATCTTGTTGATAGCAACAAGATGGTGATACACCTTGATTTTCTGATAAGTATCTGTGTTATGGTTTTATTAGAATGCAGGTGTCTTGATATAAACAGCACATTTCTCAAGTTTACCACTGGGAATGGTATCTTGGGAATAGTTTCCTGGGAACATCCCTCCTTATTGACATGGGACATTGTTTTAATCCTTGTTTGACTGTTTCTTCTTACATGTTAATATGTATGCATTTCCTTTCATATTACGCTCACATAGGTTTTATTATGTATGTTACCAGATATGTAACTGTACAAAAATTCTCATGCATTTTTATTGTAATTTGTGTATTGAGGCACAAATTGAGGTATTACATACCTTTTGCTCCATGCCTTTGAAATAAAGGAGCAGAAGCTGTAGTCTTTCTTTTTGAAATGGTAATTAAACTTAACACATATTTATTTTCCTTGTATTTAAATACCACTACTGTACAGAAAATCAGTTTTACCTAGATGTGCACATACTGTATTGTCCCATCTAGAGAGAACTCTCAGAAACTCTGGTTGAATGCCTTTTCCTTTGCCAAATTAATTCTCAGGACAGATTGCTGTTCTTAGAATTTGTAATGGTAAGTTTAATTACTATTTGAAAAATTGCCTGTAAGTGTAGAAGACCTTTTTCAGAAGAGTTATTCAAGGAGGGGGGAATTTATGTCACTCAAGGAAGCTTTGCTGCCTGGGACAGAACATCTTCCCATTGACAGTTTGATGTTTTTTCTTCTCTTGCCTTACAGAGAGGTTAACTCCCTGAAAAGATAAAATTCTTACAGACAACATTGGAGGCCCTGCGAGGGGGAGGCAGGCAAGCCTCTGAAAAGGCCTAGAGAGGAAAAAGCAGCACATTTTTTCATGCCCACTGTAGATAGCACCATCATGTCAGTGTTCTTGGCTTTCAGAAATAAATATTCCTAAATCCTTCTGCTGCTGGTATCTGGGATACCTGCGTACAATTTTCTCTCACATTGCCCTTGGATATAATTTGAATATTTGAATATTACTTTTGTCTTTCATTTAGAGTCTTCCTGGTTATAAAGTGCTACCAAGTCAATGTGAACAAGAAAACTGTATGTTTTAAGAGCTAGCTGTGTTGGTTTACTTTTTCTGTATTGATGGAGCCAGGCTTTTGTGCTTCAATGTTGACATAATGGATTTTGAACATGGCTGTTTCCTATGACTTCTTCATATCTTTGGTGCTTAGAACTTTATTATTAATCAGAAGTATCTCATACTCAAAGTCTCTTCCAAAAGGTTTTGATATAATTTGTGTTATTTTCTTCTTTGCTATATGATTATTGTCATTGTATGTAATGGCAAGAAACAAATATTTTTGTCTCCTTTTGCTGGAAATGAGTATTTACATAGTCTTTACCATTAGCAAATATTTAAGTGTTGGTTACATGTACAAATATCTGTATTAAGAATAATTGATTTCTGATGCGTGTTTTTGTTTTGTTTCTTTAATAGAAAACCGTTTCATCTCCAACTGTATCACGCCTTACAGATACTTCAAAATTCACGGGTTCTCACAAAGAGAGATTTGATGCCAGTGGGAAAGGAAAAGGCAGAGCTGGCCGAGAAGATCTGGTGGATAACTCAGGATATGTATCTGGTTATAAGCATGCAGGCACATACGATCATAAAGTACAAGGAAACAAGTAAGGCTGAGGGTTTACAACACAGAGGGGGATAGAGTATATATTTGTAAGAATGATGTTATGAATCCCACATTTTGGTTATTGTGAATGTTGAGACTATATTGTCAAGAAGTTGTCTTCAGGAACTGGAACTGATTTCAACATCTGCTGAGCTACTAGCAGCACAATGCCACTTCATTACATTCCTCATGCATATATTGGCAAAAATAAATAAATATATAGGTACAAAAATACATCATTTTGTTGAGATTTAGACAAAAAAAACCCAACAAACAACAAAGCCGAAGTCAGGAGCAGTTATACCACACTTTGTCCATTCAAACAAAGTATCTCAAACATTCCTAGATGTCCAGTTGCCCTGAGGATGCCAAAAAGAACCTCTTGAAAAGAGGGTCTTTCATAGCAGTCTTTCTGAAGAATATCCTATTACTTATGCAGTTTAATTTGACTATTGTTTTGGATTTTTTTTTAAATGTCTTATATGGGATCTGGCACTTTCCTTAAAACATTCAACAATATACTATTGGGGAGTAAGTGGTTGTAGTATACTAGGTGCTATCCTGTAATTGTCATACACCACTCATGGAAAAACTAAAAAAAAGTTATTTCTAGGACAGTATAGGTTCTAAAGTATTTTATGTCAACAGAAAGAGGTGGAAAATACCAGCCCTTACTTTCCTCCTGTCTGTACTTTGTGCTTGTTACTGTGTGTACCGTAGCATGGTTCTGACTGGCTGGATTTGGATGGAGCTATTGTACTAACCTGAGAGGTGAGGAACACGACATTACTAAGAAAGTCTGTTAAGGCTTTTTGCAGTCTCTTTTCAAGTTTGCACTGCCTCACATTGGAAATGAAGGGGGCATTAAACTAATAATGCTTTGAAATACTGGTTTTGACTAAACACTGCCAATCAGATGAATGAATTAAATGAATGTTATTGTGCACATATGTTGGCACATAGTTCCTTTAAGCTCTAATATATGTAGGGACATCTTATAGCTCCTTGGAATAAGAACAGTTACAATTAATATCTATGTAATTAGGTGCATTTTGCCCACAAAAAATATGCCATTGTAAGTGGGCTACTTTTTATGTTAGATTTGTTTTAAGCCAAGGGCTTGGATTCTTTGTTCACTTTTGCTGCCCAACTTGTGAGTAATTGTATTGCTGGGACAGCTTTCCACTGTTACCAGGAGAATCTGTCCCACAGGCTTAAGGTACAGGCAGCTGAGTGTGACCTTCCTGGGGCCCAGAATACCAAAAGAAATTAATTGGAATGAAAATAAGTTTTTTTTTAATATTGGCTGAAAAGTGGAGAAAAGGCCGCTCCAGTTTTCTGCAGGAGCTGAACAAGTACCTGATGTATTACCCTGATTCTCTACAGTTATGAAAGATACTCAGTATTCAAAACCAACTACTTGCAGTTCTGCTTTGCTTTCTTTCAAAAATCATGCACTGATTTTCATGTTCAACTCTGAATAAAGGTTAATAGATGTATTGCTCTCCCTCTTCCCCCTCCTGTATTAACATCCCACTCAGAGTCCATACATTTAGGTGAGCAGTGTATGCTGTCATGTGCCTTGCAGGTCAACAGTTTGTATTTGGCCAATGTATGGAAAGGGAGCACTGGTTTTCAGCCCTTACTTTGTTCATGCTGTGTTTTGCTGACATTGCGTGGTAGCCCTTCTTGTAACTTTGCCTTCAGTAACCCTTTGAGCCCATACCTCATCCTGGAATCAAAACAACAATAGCAAACAAAAGGCAAGGACTTCCTTGTGGACTTGGAGATCTTTTTGTTTGTTTATAATTTATTTTGGCTTTTGTTTTTAAGAGGGAGGGAAGTTTGCCAAAACTCAGCACACGTTCTTGTAAATATTTAAACGGCTTTTCCCATGGACAGCTCTGGAAGATTTTTGGTGTATGTAAGGATGCTCAGGATGAGAAGCATCCAACTTTGTGAACCCTTTCCAAGAGTTACCCAGTGTTCTTGAAGAAAAATGTCCACGGAATGAAGGATTATCCATTTGTGTGTTGCACTGGTGACCTGTCACACCCCAAAGCAGAAATTAGCATACTTGATACCAACAATGGCAGAATTATTCTGGCATGGTAGTGAACTGTCTAAATGTACAGAACCTTCTTCTATGTCACCAGTGCCTGTGCATCTGATGAAAGCTCCAGGACAGCCCTGTTTTTTTATGAATAAAAAGGCTGAGCCTCTAACACTTGATAAAGCCTTCAGCTAAGCTACAGGTAAAACCAGTGCCCCTGTTTATCCCATTGACTTAAAGACTTGACTCATAACTCAGTGGTAACTGAAAAGATCTGGACCCAGCCTGAATAAAGGGTGAAGTCCAGCCTTCTGCAGAGCCCTGTCAGCACACTGTTGGTCTGGCTGTTTGTTGCTAGCTAGCTGCCTTTTCTGGCACATCAGGTGACACTGAACCTGAGGGGCACAAGGGACAGGCTTTCTCAGGTACCCAAGTACAGAGTGTCAATAATGCCATAATGTTGCCACGTAGGAAGAGTGATTGTTTAGGAAAGTTTTAAGGTATAATTAGGTTTAAGTTGTTAGTTCAAAGTGAGTGAGACCAGGACATTCATAAGATAGAAGGCATGCAAAGGAATTGAGAGTGCAGACAGATCCAAGCTGACACTGTCTAGAAATTGAGCTACTCTGTTCACTTAAAAGAGGCTGATGAAACGTGCTGGGGTTCTGCCAGAGTTTACTTTGCACTGCTTGTGCATTATAAAATCCCTGCCATGAACCAAAGCACTTTGTAAGGACGTGAGGCAAACTTTGAAATTCTTTCAAAGGAATGGTAAGCTTGGGATCAGGACCCGAGAAGATGGTTCAGATAGCAGTATTTTATTTTCAGGAACACACTTCTTTGTTTCTTGTTCGTTTCTACAGTCTGATAGTTTTAAACCTCAAAGTGGTGCATGAAAAGAAGTCATTCTGATATGACAGTTACAAAGAAAAGTTGTGGTTGGAAAGATAGTACTTTGTAAAGATTTTTCTCTTTTACTATACTTGGTGTGAAAGATAATGGCTATGCGTTTTAGGGGTTCAGCCACCTACTTAGGCTCGTACTTTTCCACTAAGATCTGTCAGAAATTAGAAGTCTAAATACTAGCTTGATTATTAGCTCTTAAGTTCCAGGCCTGCTTGGGAATGAGGCAAAATACATTTTCTTATTCGTCTGCTATTCCCTCAACTCTCAGGACAGTAAGTACAGCTGGTACCTCAAAGGTTATGGGAAGGGACAGCTGGGAAGGTGCAGGAGGTGCCCCATTTTCAGCTCTTGAATTGTTCTAGAGCATATTGTCTTCCTGTGCACCATGCTGCAGACTATAACTAATGTCTGAAGTAAGGACATGGGTACCTAATAAGGTTTACTCTCATCTCTTTTTTTGGGGCATCTCAACTCATTCTATCTAAATTTCCAGCCTGATTTTCAGCAGCTTACACTATGCAGCACTGTCCTATGCGACAACTTCTATAAAACCCTGTTGTTCCTAATTATCTTTGTTTTCATTACTGCAGAACATGCTACCAAAAGAAACGTGATCAGAAAGTTTGGGTACCTTTTAGAAATAACTGCCTTACAGAACAAACTCAAACTTTATTTAAATACTATGGCAGTACACAATCTTACCTGTATGTCCACTGAGACTTTACCTGACCATCAAAACCTTTGCAAGATTGAGGACAAGAAATAAAAACCCTTATTGAGGCAAATGAATAGTCCTTACAAATAATTTTCTAAAAATAACCTATTTTTAAAATTAAATATGCAGAAGTCAAAAGGAGTTTTCTTATTAGTACTTGCTTACTAATTCCCTCTAGTCACTCCATGAGCTTCAGTTGAGAGTTTTGCAACCATCAGTGCGGAAATACCAAAAATAAAAATTATTGCCCTGCTCTTTGTGGTTATGAAAGTTATCACAATAGTGTTACAAAGAAGCAAACATTAAAAAACTTAATTTCTTTCAACAGTCCTATGTGAACACCTGTCATTAATTATAATTAAATATTTGGAATCCCAAGGGAAATGTTGAATATTGGACAGTGACTAAAATCTAGCCCCATTTTCTTTTTTAGCCTACAGTATTTCTATCTACTTTTCATTTAGGAAAAGCACAATTTCAAAACTACTCGCATATCACAACTTGTGTTTTTTATCAGCATAGAGATGGTCCTTCAAAGATATTTTGTATTGAAGTATGTATTTTACTGACTTTACCTAAATTAAAAATTCCTCTGACAGTTTTTTTATCATTATACAAAGCTTTATTCACAAATTAGCATTTCAGTCATCCATATTTCCCCTCTATTGGCTCAATTAATATTTTTCATGGTAGCTGGAATTAGGCAGAACAAAAAGGCAAATGACTACTGTGGATTTGACTTGCAAGTGGTAGGTAGCCCAGCCATCTGTAACCATTTGTAGAGAAAATCCTCATGTATCTTCCTCTAAAACCAAAACTTTAAAGTTGTAATTGATAGGTTTTTTTCCTTAAGGCTTTTCATAGTTATAAAATTAATTTTAATTCTTTGTGCCTGCATGTATGGTATTCAAAGCATAACATAACCCTGCCTTCAGTGATGCATGTATTCTGGGGGCATGTGCCTGACATCTGTGAATAAGAATTCTCTGTTTGCACTGGCCAGAAGCAAATCTTTTACCTTCATAATAGAGCAAGTGTAACGTGTTGCACTAGTACGTGTCCTCTTAACTGACTGTTAGCCTTGTGTGTGTGCCAAAATGACTACACCTTTGTGTACGTTGTTTGTAGTGTGAATATCATGTTCTTGGCTCGTCAGTTAGTTGGCAATAAGTAATGTAATGCACAAGACTTAGGTAGGTTTGTGTGTGTGTACACATACTCTTTGGATCCAGCTAAATAGTTAAACCTTATAAGTATTGATGCAAATCTTAAATCTTGTTAGGGCCAAGCTCTAGTCCTGCAGCCAGTGCTGTTCAGCTTGGTCAGT